GTGTGTGTGTGTGTGTGTGTGTGTGTGTGTGTGTGTTAGATTAGGTCGCGTTCAGTCACCACCAAACGTTTCGTCCAGTGGTACATCGACCAACCAACTGAAACAGCAGTTTTTTCCCCTTCTAATTTTTAAAGGGTTCAACCACAACTCAACTGTCTTCATTTTATTTGCATTAAATGTGGCAAAAAAGTCAAAAGATGCTTTAAAACTGAGAGCCACCCTTTAAAACCATGGTATCTTGCACCAAATCTGTATCAATAGGCTATTTAATGCAGCGTGATGCAAATGGCTCGGAATGTGACTCTGGTAGTTCTTTAATATAAGAAGGGACTCATAAAACTTAATAATAATAATGTGCCCAAACATCTTGGTGACAAAAAAATAAATAAATAAAATAATAATAAAAACAGGAAGTAGAATTATCTTACAAGACACCGGTTCCACTTTTCTGTTTCAACCAGAGGACTTAAGAGGGACACACGTTGTTTCAGATCTACTTTCTTTTTTTATTATTACACATAAATTACACACACACTAATAGAGAAACAGGAGGTTTAGCGTCAAGAAAAGCTCCAAACTTTTCTGCTAAAAGCCGGATCAGCTAATGCCACCCCCTGCACATTCCATTTTCTTTCCAATAATGCTTCGCTGTCGTCAAAAGTTCACAAATAAAAGGCTGCTGTGTCACGTAGGGACTCCTTATAGACACATGAGCGCACCGAAATATGTGTTTTGCAAGAGTAAGTAAAACGTCGGGATCATCATGGAGCTGAAAACCGCAGACAAAGAGAGAATAATGAAAATAGAAGGGCTGAGAGAGGGAATAATGGTAGGCCTGTTGCTGATGGTGCTCTGTAGGCGAAGACACACAGTCGCAGGTTTTCTCTCTGTCTTTTCTCTCTTCCTCTGTCCCCCTTGTCTCCCCCTTTTTTTCCCTCTTTCTCCTGCCTCTTTTTTCCCGCCCGTCTCCATCAAGATGCCATTATTCAGGACATTAGCGAGGAAGAGCTAAAAGCTCTCTCTGTTGAGGAGGGTCTCAGGGTCCTCTGTGAGAGCTCTGACGTGGGACGCACACACACACACGCGAGCACGCACACACACACACTTTGACTACAGAAGTAGCATACAGTCCAGGTGAAGAGGTAAGAGGTGGTAAAAAAGGTCTTATTGCAGGTATTAGCAGGTATCTGGGCTCCTTTGCTCTCCCGCCTGACCAAAAACATGGACATTAGCTGGCACAAAGAGAAATGAACGCGGCTCAA